ATATCTCACACCGACACCAGTGGCACTATAAAAGGCCGGCGGATGCACAATTTCGTCAGTTCTCGCAGCTCCTCGAGCTGTGGGAAGCCCGCATATCTTGCGGGCTCGACGTGCCCCGCATAACCTGCGGGCGCGGCGAGGTCATTCCTCATTCGAGCTTCTCGGATGTGCTATGTTCAAAGTGTCGGGGATTCTCGACTGGTGCGATTCCGTTAGCCAGTACTAACCCTACTGCAGTGTCGCGTCCAGGCTGACGTTAAACCCATATTCATGAGTAGACATATCACGTGAAGATTAGCGAGAAAGAGGTGTGGCAAAAGGTCGATGCTGCCCGGGGCGTCGAGCAGAGCGAGGAGAAGGGAATTCAAAAGGTAAAGAACAAATCACAATCTGTCAGTATAAATCGAATAATTGCAGGTATCTTAAATCGAATGGATCTAATTGGAGGCGACGAAGAAGCAACGAGGAAGGGAAAAGCGTCGAGTAAATGGTATTTTTGGTCCGGCCAGTTTATTTTTATTTTTTTTATTTTTACTCTTATTATGCACTTGCACCAGTCGTACCACTTACGGCTTCCCCTTCTATATCCCACCACTTGGGATTCTCTCTCTCTCTCTCTCTCTCTCTCTCTCTCTCTCTCTCCGTCTGGGCTCTCTCTCTCTCTCTCTCGTCTCTCCCTCTCTCTCTCTCTCGTCTCCTCTTGCGCTGTCCCTTCTCTCTATCAGTCGACTGATTCCACCTGCCGTACCACTTGCTCTTGCTCTATATCCCACCACTTGGGATTCTCTCTCTCTCTCTCGGTCCTACCGTTTGGGACCAACCATCTCTTCTTTGTTTTTCGGGAAAGTCGTACCACTTACGGCCATGCCAGTCATTCCACTAATGACTTGCTTCCCTTTTTTTTACTTATTTATTTTGTTTTTTTAAATTCTTTATACTAATTTGTGTGTGCGTGTGTATGTTTAGGTATCGTCGCTTCTGCTTCTGCCGCCGCCGATGGAAGGACCCTACCGGTGAATCGATTCACCGTCCCAACTAAGTTTCCTCCAACCTTAAGCAATAGTCTCTCTAACATCCTAAGGGCCTCTAGTCTCTAGTTTAGTACGCCGTAGTCGGCATAGTCGTAGTCGGCTATTTCCCCAAAACGCCAAGGCTTCCCCCGTAGTGCCGAGGCGTTGGCTGGATGGCGGCTTATCCGCTGTATCCTAAATTCGGGTGATTGGCCTGGCAAGCCCTTCAGCCCTGATTCCGTAGCCGGGAATCGAACCCTACCCAAACGCCCTGTTTCGAGTACTTTCGAGTACTTGGAAACTGCTATCGGGCGTTATGGATGGTTAAGCTTTAGAATTTTGCTTCACCGGGTGTCCTCCATACTAGTAAGGATGTCATCTGGACCTGACCTATATTGACGTGGTTTGGCCAGCTATGTCAATATGTCCAGCCTTTCGGGTGCACATGGACCGTGCTTCTTGGCATAGTAGCTTGCTACTTTGTAGTGGCTTGCTACTACTTAGTTGTAAGCTGCTATGCTGAGAACACAAAAACCACATTACCATATCACCAGTAGACCCGGGGCCCAGCCAGACGTGGCTTGCCCAACCACTTCTACTTCTATTATCCTCGGATGATAGTTGTGGGATGTCCTTGGGTGATCCCCATGGTGGGATCGGCGATGACCCACATCAGGTTTCGGCCTGATGCTGGTGAGCCTCTCCTTCATGTGTCGAGCCTCTACGTGGCGAAGGAGATCAACTGACTCGGTCTTCTTTCACGAGGATCGAGTCAGGCTAATCGGCACACGATTTCCAACGGCCTTTTTATGACTATTTTTTTGTGTGTAAGTCCATTAACTACTTAACGTTAGGTTTATTTCTAAGTTTTTTAACCAACTAAAATGAGAATTTATTGCATAGAAAAATGCGCTTTACGAGAATCTTGATTAGAGTCTAGCTTATATAAATAATATTTTTTTAATTCAATATCTTGATGAGCTGCGATACCGTGTTTAGCTATGCGTTATTGTTTTAGCCGCATAATAAATTAAATCACTGAGCATACCATCATTAACGATATGACGGGGAGAAGATGTTCATATTATATACACTATCTGTTGTTACTCAAAAATAAATTATTATATTCAATGCAACATTATTTAAAAAAAAATGAAAATGATTTATCATGTGCAAATTATTAGACTCGTCTATTCAAAAAAATTGAATTTCACATTTTTTAAATGAACAGCTATATGAAATTTTTTCAAAATGATATTGAAAATGCCCACAAAAGGGGATGTCTCTTTTGATATCTTTCAGAAGAAAAGTAAGACATAGTTTTCACATTCCTTGAGTTTTCGCACATCATTTCAATGCAGCGTCCATTGTATAATGTTATATTTTACATAAAATATTTTATTGAAAAGACGACATTGCCAATTCTCACGCATTTTGTTATTCAAATGAAGCATTATATTCTTCCGTATTTAAATATAAATTTGACCATAAAAATTATATTAAAAGAGTTCATGCGGAGACTTGACATAAATCATCTTCGGTATAGAAGAAGAAGCAAAACTCTCTTGAACCCATTTGTCCATTCAACTTTGTATGCGTAATTAATTTGTAATTATTCAATTATTTCCACTATATATTTTTATCGATGTTATCCAAGGTATTTTTGTGGTGGAAATAAATAAAAACTGCTGTAATTCTAGTAATTAGTTTTAGTAAATTACCTGTCCTGTAATAGCTATAGATAACCGATGGAATCAAAATTGTATTTTTTCTCTTCATTACCGGTGCCTAGAACATTTCCATCTTTTCTGGTTTTGATTTCAGATTGATTTACTGAAAAGTCCTTAATCCATCACGTGAGCGATGCTCCTCTGCCAAGCAATGAATTAGCGGTAGGGTGCTTCGCCCACGAGACGGTGAATTGTGACACAGTTTTAATTTATGCGGAATTATTTGGCTTGCAAAATTACTGTCAGAAATATAGCAAGCATAATCAATCAGCCCGCAGTCAGTTCATCACTAGAACGTGCTCATCAAACGATGGCAACATATCGCTAAAAAAAATAAAAAAAGAATTATTTTGTGGTCATGTGAGTATAACAGGAAATATAAAAAAGAAGTAAGCTTCAATATATAAAATTAATACCATGCAGATAGAAAATATATAAATTTGTTGTTTATTTTTTTATTATTCAGTGACGAAGTTAATGTTGCTCATATCGCTAGATATTACAATGTTTATGAAATAAAACACATTCCTATACCCCAAAAAAGCTAGTCTACAATTAGTCAGCATCATGGAAAAAAAACTGCTGAAATATTGAATTCGAATTTTTCCAGAACTTTTATTATTCAATTCGTACGCAGCGCCGTAAAATAGGATTTTCAGATTTTCCTGTGGAATTAATAACGTCATTATTAATATCAGATTAAATTACATAATTTTCCCAAATAGCTCATATTTGTTTCAGTTTTTATTTCCTAGAAATTTGTAATGTCTAGTGTGAACAAACTCAATATTTTTTAAACCAAATTCTTGAAGACAAATTAGGTGAGTCAATCGAAAACGAAGTAGTCTGAGGCTCAAGAGATAACGCTTCTATTGCTATTATTTATGTTAGAATATAATGAATAAATTTCCTCCGATAATCGGTTTTCGAAAATCAAAGTGCTTATAGTTTACACGTTGAAATTCTTATTTTAGTGTTTCAGAATGGTTCTGAAATATTGTGGATTCAAATTTTTTCTTTTCATGATACAACAATCCGTTATTCTATAAGAGAATCAATTTTGACTTGTTCATTTCAAATTTGGCAGCCGTTTTGTTTCTTGATTAGCTTGCATTATTACAAGATCGCAGGCACTTAAGACCCTAGACGGCTCATTCGTAATTATTTTTCAAAAATATTGTCTAATTTAGCGATTCTATTCCCAGATTCACACACATGTATATGAGTGGTCAGACATCTTTAAAGGTTGGGCAGCTCGATGTAATTTGATTAACAGAAGCACCGATTTCTGTTGTGCGTACCACCCGTCATGACAATGATTGGCATAAAACCAGCTTGAAAAACACGTGGTTTATGCCATCATTACCAAGACGATTTGTGTGCGCCTCATTTTTTTGCGTTCAAGCCTGTATATTGTTTATTTGAAAATTTCTGAAGCACTCTTCTCGTGGAATTATTCAGGATTTCAAAAATTCGGCAAAAGTACAACTTTTGGAAATGGTTCAAAATATGGATTGCTCACCTGTTGAGCAATCCATATTACGATAGGAAGCTTTTACCTGTTCCAATTGCATTCAAACTAATTCAATCATGTGCTTCTCTGTTAACATCTTAGTGTATAAAAATCAGAGAACCAATTTTAGCGTATTTCTAAACTCGAAATTTCTCAATTCCGAATTATTCCATGACATTTATTTTTTACAAAAAGTTATATAAGGATATTCCACAATTCAAGGGCATTCCTTCAAGCCACCGCAAGCATATTTATTCAGAATTTTATGCAATAATTTGAAATAATGCATAATTTCAAAATGAAAAAAAGGTTAAAAGCTCCAGTACGCCATATAAAAATGCTAGTAAGAACTAAGTTGCAAATTAATTTCAAAAGCGAAAGAAAGAACCGAGATACGAGAAAACAAGTAAAGGTTGGCAGCTTTTCGAAATGAAATCATGGGAAAGGGAGAAAGAGAATCAATCAAAATAATGCTGAAATCAATAATGAGAAATAAAAAACAAAATATTCTTCAATAATCAGTTTGGAGTTCGGTTTCATATTTCTCGAAATTATCAAAAATCTTAAATAAATTAATTTTAATTTATAGTTAAGGCATGATCACATGTGGTACTTAAAATTTGTCATAAAAAAACAAAAGAAGCCAATTTTAATATGTAAAAACTCAGACCAAAAAATGAAATAAAACTGTGAATTAAAAAAACTAGAAGGAAAAGGAATTATAAATAGAAACCACTCGTCATTTTATTAATGCTTCTTTTTCTTTGCACTCTCCTCGGACGTCACTTTTCTCGACTTTTTGGCCTTGTTTAATTCCAAAGCTTCGTATGCTTTCTTCTTCGCCTGAATATACAATATCATATCAATGATATTTTGAAAATTTTTATACCAAACGCGGAATCGTCTTTCTTTTTGTAGCGGTCTTCACTTCCTTCTTCCCCTTCTTTTCCTCAGTGGGTCCTTCGCCCTGCAGCGCCTGTACCTCACCATTCTCCCCCTGCAAGAAAGAATACTTTAACTGTAAAATTTCTGCTACAAATATTTAATACTGTTAATGCTATATGGTTTGCCTAGTTATTAATATATTAAAAAATACCGCTTCGGTTGATTCTCCATCTTGAATACTTGACGACGGCTGGTGCTCATCCGAATTCTTTTTCTGTTCGTTTAAAATGCGATTGCACTTAGTCAAGTATTCATTTACTCTGAAACATTTATAATAATAAGATTCAAATTGAAAACGACTACTTTTTAAGGTATTCTTGCCGGCTAATACTGGGCACGCTTTGCACTTTCTCAGCTCTCTTCTTCTCCGCATTTTCCATTTCAGATGACGTCTCGCAACATCTGAAAATATCAAAACAATTTTAAGATTAATTTACTAACAAGTGATTTATAGCTAAATTTTAGAAAATTTGACTTTAAAATCAGTAAAAAAATTCATTTGTTTCGATTCAAATATGAAACATTTTAAGAATATTTCAAATAATTAAAATTTTCTAAAAATTCATACCTTGAAGGTTGAATTGGGCTGTTATGAGGATTCATTGTTTCCTGAAATAACTTGTTTAGCAGAAAAGTAATGGGCAAATGTTAAAAAAACGAAAGCGACATAAACTAGGCGAACGGAATTGTCATGGGGTTAGTGATTATATATGATACACATAGGCATGGAGAGTTGGTTAAAAGAAAATGAATGATTGAGGCAATTGAAGGCAAAATGAACAATTACTCACTGCTCAATATTCTGCTAGAACATATGGGCCACGAAACAATTAGCCTAAAGAGATTCCATGTGCATTACGAGTTCGAAAATAATCGTTTTCGCACCGCGCGCGAATATCGGATAAAGGTAAATTGGATTGTGCAAATGGTGGTGAGGGTTCAACACGAAGACATAGTTTCTAACAAACACACAAATCTGATGATGCCAATTACACAATTTTCGGCACAGGTCAACATTTTCCAAAACTGTCAAAAAGAAAAAAATGCCAAAAAAAAACGCAAACGCAGAAAATTTGGTTCGCTGGTGATCTACAATCCGAATCTGAAAATTTCATTGTGCTTAAGCACTATTTTTCCCTTCCTTTTTTTTTCCGTACGCAAGAAATGGTGGCGGTCGAATATTTAATGAAAAAAAAAGACACAGACGACGTAGCGTGTATAAAATAAAAACGCAGACTGTGAGACGGGCACAATTTGTGGCCGAAGAAAAATCGGTCAATATTCGAAAAAAAAACTATATATATATATAATAATTTTCCAAAAACCATCGCCACAATTCAACTTTTTCCGTTATCGGCCATTTTTCACAAGTATAAACAAAATTCCTTCAAAAAGAATACAAGTTACTTTCAGATGTGAAGCAAATGTTGAAGATAGTAATAATAATAATAATAAGATAATTTTAGTTTGAATTAAACAGAGGAAATTACAACTATATTCTGACAATAATCGAAAAAGTGTGATACGGCAAAACCACCAACCCTCTATTTTCACCTCTGGGTGGATACAACAAAATCCAATTAAAAATAATAATAAGAAAAGGAATAAATCGATCCAAGAGTAACAGATAAACTATTATAGAAAAAAAAATCTGTTCTACATATTTTTAAGGAACAATTCTGTAGTTGTATAGGAAAGAAACAGCAATCTCTTCGTGCTCATCGGCTCATACTTTTGACTTTTTTCATGTAAAACCCTTACGATGGAACTCCATCAGACCACAAATATTTGAAATACAGAATATTCGAATATAAAGTAGAATTGGCGATTAACTGCCGCTCTGCTCATATGATTTTCAAAGAAGCCTTTGGGTCCCACTACTTGCTGTCGATAATCCTTTGTTATGAATTTTCTGAGAATATTCGTCACCCTGTTGTGTGGATAATACTTAAACTTTCTGAAATTAATGGTGAATTGGATCAATATTAAAAAAATCATACCATAACTGCCAAACGCATAGGATTTATGATTTTCTTCTTCGATTGACTATCATTTTGAAGTACCACAAAACTCTAATTATTTAAAATTATTTAGTATATATTTTTAGAATTGTGTATTTTTCCAAAAAAAGATCTGAAACTTGCAATCAATTTTAAGAAACAGCCATTTTTGAGGCTTCAATTATTTCTGCTTTTTTCCAGGTAAATCCTTTTAGCCTATAATTTACTCATACATTGAATAGCCAATAATTATTTCAATTCTTCAACTTTATATCAAGCATCTGACTCCTCAAATTTCCAAACAAGCTGTTTTCTTTTTTCATCGCGTTTAAAAACATTTGAACTTATTGGAAAAACATGTAGCTACAAAAAAGACACCGACAAACACCAAAAGACACACTCAAATTGTGAAACACATTAGAAAATAGTGTTGGAAGGGTGCGAGAGAGAGAGACATGTGCTGCGATAAAAATCAGATTAGTCACGTTCTCGATACTCATCAATTTCATTAAATGTGCTAAAAACAATGATTTTCATAATGAAATATAATAATTCTTAAACAAGATCTTAAATAAATAAAAATTGTGCAAAAATTATTGTCGCCGACGGGATTCGAACCCGAGAGTTTCCTCAATGGATCCGTCCAACTCTTTTGACCACTCGCCTACCGCAACTCACAATCTGGTTATGGTATAACTCATTATTCAATATTCTACAGTATACAGTATAAATTATACAGTATGTTGGTTCTTTCCAATAGAATAATGTAATTTACATATATGGTAGATGTGTACCATTCAGATTGTGTGTCGTGGTAGCCAAAGATATTGTACACTGCATCCAATGGGGAACCTTTTGGGAGGTTCGAATCCCCTCGAAGAAATTTTTTGACTTTGGAAAAATTTAATTTGTACTGAAAAATACTAATTGTGGAGAAATATAATTCTTTAATGTCACTTTTTGCGAAAAAGAAAAAAAAAGTTTTCAATTTTGAATGTTACACAGTTGTCTTTTTGGGTAATTATCGGTTTATTAAAATAAAAGCCACGTCAATTAAAGAACATTTACTTCTTTTAGTATATTTGAAGCTTAGAAATTGACGATTTTATTGGCACTATTCAAGTGACTATCTTCAATAGGCTGGAAGTCATGTTGTAATAACAAAATGTTAAATAAGGTATTAACTTGGCAAGCTATGCCATTATTTAAAAAGGAAACCAACAAGTTTTAACAAAAATTCACAAATTTATTGATTATGCAAAGGATAAATAGAACCAAACTCAAAGAAAAATAGTCAAGCGCAGCGGATGAACACTGGATTTCTCCTCAGCAACGGAATTGCGAATCACACAATGGGCAAGAATGGAGGTTTCGCGAAAAATTGAACCGAAAGAAATGAGAAAAGTAATAATTGAGAATGAAATTAGCCAAAAATTCATGGAAAATCATTAATATCATTATTCCATATACGGCGAAGGACGATTTTCAGTTGGTAGTTCGATTATGCATGGATATTGAAAGTAGGCAAGCATTTCACTGCAAAAATTTCGACATTAATTCTAATAATCAAACAATAATTCCTACCATCTTCTTCTTCTTGTTCTTTCCTGCGCCCTCATCGTCATTTTCATTTTCGTCGTCGCCGGATTCTCTCCCTTTTTTTGGCGCCTTCTTATCACCTTGTCCCGATGTTGATGGCTGCTCATTTGAGTCGTGGTCCGACTCATCAGCCAATGGCACGTTGGCCTTTGCATCAATCTGGAGCACTTTAAAAAATCAATAGAATTTTATGAGCAACTTACTGCTGGTACACTGGGACCTTGCGGTTCGCATTCAGCGCCGTGTGTCGGACCCAATTCTGGTGCCGCACTCTCAACGGGCCCATTCGCCAACTCGTCTTCGTTTATCGGCTCCAAATGGGGCCTCATATCATCGTCTTCATCATTTTGAATATCGCGATTTCCCTCGACACCATCATCATTCGACGCCGAATTCTTCTCCAAAGCGTCATCCGCTGCGTTTTGTGCAGTTGGCGGCGCAATCAGTTTGCATAATTCATCGTCGTCGTCGTCATCGAAATCCGATTCCGAATTGAACGAGCTGCATGATGAAGCGTCTTCGTCGAGAATTCGCGGATTCAACGCCTCAAGCGATTTCATTGATTTAAGACCGAAAACAAATAACAACAAACTCTTTTGAATGTTTTACCGGCCATGTTGTCCTCTTGCGGAAGATAGTTCACCTGTGCAGCCACACCATGTTTGGCAACAGCTTCATGCGCAGGGTCCTCTGGTGGTGGTGTTGAGGCCCTTGCGGGCTCATTTATTCCTGGAATAGTCCCCGGATCCATTCCAACCTTCTTGTTAATTATTCCCAGGTCTGAAAATGTGGAAAATATGAGAAATATATAAATTCGTCAAATTTTAAAAGAATTCGAATTTAATATATGAAGTAAATTAATGTTTTAAACAACGTTCTTCCTAACATGATTACCTTTTAAAATCCTATAGAATATATCTAAAATAAAAAATATGAGCAGCTCTTCATCATTTAAAATCTATATTTTTTTTTCTATATTTTTTCCGCCCTAAATTAAAGAAAAAACTGACTACAAATGGATATATTCAATTTTCGTAGAATTAAAATACCCGCAGCTGTTAGCAAAATCAATAAAAATATAAAAAATGTTAAAATTTAGGACAAAAATGTTTGATGACGACAACAAGGACACATTCAAATTGAAAAGAGCGGAGATGTGCGATTGAGCGCACTTGCTGAAGTTTCAATTATTGTTGAACACGTGGAAGCAAGGAGAGAATGAAAATCGTTCAATTTTTTGAAAAATTCCTTAAGACATTAATGCTAATTTCGAAGAGATAGAATATTCATTAGATGCAAAAAATTTAAAATTCAAAAAATTCTAAATTTTAAAAATCATAACATGCCATTTTTTTGGACTTTAATTTTTTTTGTAAAAATTTAAAAAGTATGAGATAATTTTATGCCAAACAATCCAAGTAAACCACTAAAAAATAAAGAATCTTGTAATTTGATAATCTACAACTTTTATTTAAAATATGAAGAAAATAATTTGAATATGCTAATTGGCCTTGCAAAATTCAACTTTTCGCAAATTTATAAAAAAAACGTATCGTGAAAGAAAATTCGAATGAAGAAGTAATTTGCTCCCAAATTCTCGAACAGGTGAAATATTGCATGAAAAATTATTCAATTACTGACAATTATTATTGTCAGGGATATATACATTTCGGAGAGAAAAATAAAGGGGAAACATTTAAATCGTTTTGAATACTTTGTTTGAAGGTACACGACACATTTCGTTTTCATTTCTCGTTTGACTCTATTTATAAGAATCGTATTGTGTAAAAAATAGAAATGAGCTAATGATTTTCTCATGAACACTAGAACAAATGGAATATTGAATCCGTGATTTAAATAAAATAACACAGGCATCAAAGCAATCACAACTATAAGGATTAAAAAATATTGCAAAAATCGTCTGCCCCATGCCAGGCTCGAACTGGCGACCTTGGCATACCCTAATGACTATAAGTACCACGCGCTAACCGACTGCGCCAATGGGGCGCGCTTGTCAGCTCTCGCAAGCGGCTATTACACGCGTTACTTGAATGTAGAGAGAGTGGTGGTTGAATATGTACACATTCAACATTGAATTCCATAAAAATTCGAAATTCGCTCATTTTCAGTGGCAACTTAGTGATTTGCATGAAGCAACTTATAATTCAAATGTAAACAAATTATAAAATAATTTTTCATAATAGCTAAATGACCAAACAGAGTTATCAATAATTTTTCGTAGAACCGGAAAGATTTTAATAGCTCTCCTTGCTTGACAATATGAAAACTGGCGAAGGTAGACGATAGATAAATATCTCAGAGAAACATAAATGAGAGTTAGCACTAGTGATAGGATCGGAAGAGATAAATGATTTTGACAAATCAACCAACGGACCTCAAGACTGTAAAATAAATATATGATTTAGCACAGATTTCCGAAATATAATGCTATTGAAACTGTGGATCAATTGTAATGAACCCTAATTCGAATAGTTTTAGTTTTTCAGCTATTTTCTTTTTTTTACCATCACGCACACTCACATAAATCCATTACAACTTGTCGTCTATTTCCCACAATTTGAATTTTAGATTTTTTATATTCTGGCCACTTTTCTATTCAATAGTATTATTTTTCAAAATTTCAAGATTCTGGTAGTAGAGATAATCAATTTAATCGTTGCAAACACAGACATTTTAAAATAAATTTATTTTTCCAGTGTTCAGTTTTCATGATTCTTCCATAGTCCACACAATTTTTAAAATGCACGTTTCTTGCCTTAAATATTGATTATTTAGCGGTTTTAGACAAAAATTTGAAATTCTCACGTAAAAAATCCGCCTGCACCGATAATGCGTCAATACTCTCCCGGGGTTGACACTAAACTAGCAGCCACTTTATATCAACATTTTTGGTCCTTTTTTCGGGATTAAACATAAAAAAGATCATTTATTTTGTGAAAACGTTTGCAAAAAGCTTTCAAAAATATTTCTAAAACATATTTTTTACCATTTATTTTCCTTAGATACTATTTATCAAATAATTTGTAGGAAATCAAGCAATTTTCATTTTCTTTTTACATTTTTTGCATCTACTTTTCATTCACAGCTGCATATCTTTTTCATTATACATATATTTTCAGCATTTTCAGAATGCTTTCTCGACACGCGGTATCGGTTCGCAGCGCCCACAAAGCGGCCTCATCAGCAGCCGCCCATTCGGTTGAAAATGTGACGAAGGTTTCGTCGGGATTGACGGTGGCAACTCTTGACAATCACGGGCCACTGAGCCAGCTTGTGCTCGCCTTCCGTGCCGGCTCCCGATATGAAACCGCTGCACAAGCCGGATTGGTGCACACACTGCGCAACTTTGTTGGACGCGATACCACCCAATATCCAGGAACATCGGTCGTTTGGTCGTCAGCCGCTGCCGGCGGTGTTTTGGTAAGCTTTTGTGTTATTAAAAATTGACAAATTCAATTCTGATTTTTCAAGAAATCATTTGCAACACGCGACATTTTCGGTGTTTCCATGACGGTGCCACGTGACGAAACCGCGCACGCTTTGTCAATTCTGGGACATGCTGCCTCTCAACCAGCATTCAAACCATGGGAAGTTGAAGATGTAAGACTATTCCACTATTAAATGAAATATATGAATCGATGTGAAGGTTCTTCCAACAATGCGAGCCGATAATGGATACCGAACACCATTCGACTACGTTTTCGAAGGAATTCATAGAGCAGCTTACAGGTAGGAAAATTAGATGATTGAATTGAAAATTTAGAAATAAGACAATATCAGAAAAAAATTGTTGCTTGCTGAAAAATATTTATACTGATTAATTTGTTGAAAAGCAAATTTGATATGAAAAAACTTGACGTTTCGTTTCATAGCGGAAATAAGCAAGCGAGTTGCCATAAAAGCGAATATAAAACGGCTGCTATATGTTTTCTTTTGGAACGGGATTCGGCGATGTTGCAATTTTGACGAACGACTAATGATTGACAAATTAGCCGGTTTGAATTCGATAAAAGATATCATGTATTTTGGATCTTGGCCAAGAATCGGCTAAGAGAAAAGCGTGAACAATTAATGCCGGTTTTTTCATCGACTTTCAAAGTGATCACTTCCGTGTTTTTGATTTATAATAACAATATAATTGTCAGACGAAATTTTAAATTAATTAACAAATAAATTTATGGAGCTGGATATATCGTTTTTATTTTCAGAAATGGACCACTTGCTAATTCAGTTTATTCGCCATGCTCGCAAATTGGAAAGATCTCGACCCAAACTTTGAGCAAATTTGCTGTGAGATCATTATTTTCTCGTCTCATCGCTAAAATTTCATATTTAGGATGATCATCTTGTGTCTGGAAATGGTATCATCTTTGGTACCAATATTGAGCAGGAGCAACTCATTCTCTACGCCGAAAACTATTCACCGATTCGTCAAGGGAACGCGGTTTCAACACCATCGAGTCCGTATAAGGTATTCAAGCAGAGTAAATAATTTATTTCTGAGAAAACAAATTTAATAACGACGTCTGTATCCTCCAGTTTGTGGCGGCGATGGGGCATCATATCCTCCGGCTTGTGGTGGTGATGGCGATGGATAGTTTGGAGCTGGATATGATGGATAGCTGGTTGGCTCTGGTGGAGAGGTGTAATCTGGATGAGTTGGTGGCTGAGTGTATCCCGCGTCTGGATGAGTTGGTGGTTGAGTGTATCCAGCATCTGGATGAGTTGGTGGTTGAGTGTAGACATCATGCGGCTGAGTTGGCGGTTGGGTGTATTCAATATGCGGCTGAGTTGGCGGTGGGGTACGATCGTTTCCACTCTCTGGTGGCTGAGTAGCGCGAGTCTGAGTTGGTGGGGGTGGTGGTGGAGATGGTGTCTTTCCACTAGTTGGTGGGTTACGATCCTCTTGGCGTTGTGGGCATGGGCAGTAGTGCGCATCCTTTCCTGAAAAAAAAAACATATCTGAAATTGATGGAAACTGTTCAAATAATTGTACCTGGGGCTCCATCGGTTCCTGGGCTTCCAGACTTTCCTGGGAATCCATCATGTCCTGGGTTTCCTGGAGTTCCTGGGGCTCCAACTGGTCCTTCCTCTCCATCCTTTCCTGGCTCTCCGTGCTTTCCTGGCAGTCCTGGCTCTCCAGCCCATCCTGGCTCTCCTGGCTGTCCGGCGGCTCCTGGGAAGTAGGCGGTTCCTGGCATACCGTCTGGTCCATTAGTTCCATCGTATCCCTTTGGTCCTGGAGCTCCCTTGTCACCTTCTGGTCCTTGTGGTCCCGGCTCTCCATCATCTCCAGCTGGTCCTGGCTTTCCGTCAGATCCTGCGAATCCTTGCTTTCCTGGCTCTCCGTCTGGTCCTGGTGGTCCAGCTGGTCCCTGTGGGCATTTGATGCATCCTCCTGGAATGTCGTGGGCGATAGCAAGCGAAACTCCGCTGGCTCCTGGACGACCGGCATCTCCCGGATGTCCCTCATCTCCACGCTTTCCTGGCGCTCCTGGTGGTCCCGGTGGTCCGGCTGGGCATCCTTGTGAGTTGCTGTCGCAGTTGCACATTCCCGGATAGACGAAACGCTTTCCACGGAAAGCGGATGGAAGTGGATAAGCGGACTCGCCGGTTGGTGATTGAAGGATTAGGAGTCGGTCCCATGTGTCATCAGCGAGCACTTTGAATTCATCAACGCGCCCTTCAACTTCATTGCGAAGGTTATTGATATCCTTTACAATGTGAGTAATAGAGTACAAAGCGGAAAGTACGCCGAAAAGGCATATGCCAGCACCAATATAGCCAACAGTAGACATGGCTGCAAGCTATGAATTCATCGAACCCCACTATATCTTTTTATAGTGGACGGCAGGTGGTAGGCTAAAAACTGCCCAAAAAAACTTGAACATGCGTCGCGAATTGTGTGAAAAACTACCGGTTTTTTTTGCACTCGCTTCCCCCCCCCCGTCTTTCCGTGTGTGTGGATAGTGACAATTTGAGATATCTGTTCCTCCCATCATTCGCCACCTATTCGTCAATGGGAATGCATCCTCCCAACATTCGGACAAACTGTTGCGTTCTTATCAATCGTATGAAATCTTAACGACGCTCATATCTTTTTTTTCAGGGTGGTGAAAACCGTAATGAAGCGAATCTCAAGTATGCGCACGTGATTCTTGCTGGTGAAGGCGCCGCCGGAAACAACGCCAAAGCTGTCGCCGCGCAGGCCGTTCTTCTCACGGCTCTCGGAAACTCGTCCCCGGTCAAGTAAGAAAGTGAAATCTCCTAACACCATTCCTTTTGTCCGCATTTTGGCCAAAATCTATTCTCCCACATAATTAATGGCTTTTTGTGATCGCGATTGGCACCGAAAAAATCTCGTAAAATCGTTTATGGGACAAAATTCCTTGTTCGCTTGTACTTTGTGTTCTGAGATAATTGATCTCATCGAATCCATTTGCAACATTTGCGTTGTCCCATGGAAACCTGTTCAAGAGTAGTATGCGTTTTATAGGTTTTCAACGGTGAACAGCGGAGTTCTCGCCAACGCCGTCGGGGCCGATGCCTCGTTCAGCGCCTTCCAGGCAGTTCACTCCGACAGCGGAATTGCTGGAGTCTACCTTGTCGCTGAGCCATCCAAGATTTCCAAGGTCGTCCATTCTGTTGTCGGAGCCCTCAAGTCGTTCAAGGTCACCGATATTGATGGTAAGCCATTGAAAAACCAAAAAATTGTAGTAATTAAGCAATTAAAAAAAAGATAACCAAAATAAATTTAAAAGTGTAATATTGTTAAAAAGGTACCTAACATCCATATTTTGAAAATTGAATTTTGCTTTGATTTCCAGAGAATCATAGTATAACTGAAATGACTTAGCAAATTCAACATTTAAAAAAAATCTTTGTGAATTTCAGCCATCAAGAAACAAGCACACAACAACGCCTTGAGAGCCAAGGCTCATTCCGATGTGTATTCTGTGGAGCGCGCCAGCCAGCTCATCATCTCTCAAGACAACTATATCAATCTTATTCCAAATGTAAGACGATGTTTCATCAAATAAATTCATTGTCTTTCAGGTGACGTCGTCTGATGTTGAAGCCGCCGCTCAACGAATTCTCAAGAAGGTCTCCCTTTCAAGTTACGGAGATGTCGACAATGTTCCATACCTCGACACCCTTTAAATAATTATTTTTCGATAGACTCGTTTTTTTTAGATAATGCAGCATCTTTATTTAAATTTTTTGTAGAAAAAAGCATCGATTCATGGTTTAAAGCTCGTGTTCGTCATTGAATTCTTCTTGTTCGACTCTGAAAAATCGAATGAAATTGTGGAGGAAAATTGTTAGAAATGTATACTCAAAAATGTAGTCGAGCATTTTTTTGAATTGTTGCGCCATGTCGGACGTATGGTTGAGATGGTCGGTCAAGGTTAATGGATTGTAAAATAGCTCGCGGAATTTGTCCAGATATCTGTCAAAGCTCAATTTCACGCCGAGCAATTGAAAACCATCAGTGTGCTCATATTCGCGCTCAAACTCTGCTGCCTAAAATTGAACGTTATGGGTTAGAAAGCGACACTTTGGGGGTGATGCCAGGCGACAAACGAACTCACAATTTTTTCGAATGATTCATCGTCGAATTGATATTCTTTGCTTTCAAACTTTTGAATTGTCTTCTCAATAACAGTTTTAAGCTGAATATATGAAATTGCTATAATAAAAAAGAAGAAAACGAACATTATCGGGAACTTCATTATAAACTCGTAGCATTGTGTTAGTTAATCGAATAATAGCCTTCTGAAAAAAAAAGCAATTAATTCGGATAGTTTGTTGCTGAACAAAAAACCTGGTTATCGTCGCCATATTTTTTACAGAAATCCAAAAATTCTTTTTTCTTTTGTTTTCCAGTTATTTGCTTTGGGATAATTTCACGAAGAATCTGAAACAAAATTCAAAATAATCTAGGCAAATTCCAACATTTTCACTTCTAAAGCTTCTCTGCCAAACTCCACGATATTTATTTGGCCTTTGTTGTTGATAATATTCTTATCTTCAACATTGTCATAGAGTCCCAAAGTGAACGGAATTATATAAAATAACACGAGTGGGAATGTAGTAAAGCAAACCATCAAAAAAAATATGTGTGACACACATTTTATGACGCGAATTTCATGATAATCCCCAAAATCGCTAGTCTGTCCGCTGTAATCTTTTAATTACTGCAATTCATTGAGTTTTATCAGCGAAAAAATGTGCAGCGTTATCAGCGCTAAATAATGAGGTACCCACATAAATTTTCATTATCGATCATTGTCATTCGATGAGAAAATTGTTCTTATTACCATTTTTGATTTTTCAATGGATTGAAGCTAAACAGGTTCGATTTTTAATTCAATGAATTCGATGTTGCCAAGTTTCTAGGGTGTAAAACCGTTCGTCTCCGGAGTCCGTGTTGAAAACGAGGCCAATAAGCCAGGATTCGTTGGATATAGGTTCAATATTCTTCTTTAAAAAAAAGTCTCAAAATTTGCATAATTTAGTGATTCTGGAGAAATTATCGTCGAACCAGGTGCGCCTGTCGACGTTGTAATATTTGGGCATGGTTTGGAAGACGTAAGCTTAATTACATATAGTTTTCGAGACAAATAATGAATTATTAGGTAGTGCAAATTTCGTTCACTGATTCGGTGTGTCTTACATCAGAATTCAATATCTCAAGCACTGAATTCTACATTCACAAAGATATTCGAGTTGTCTTCAAGCATACTTTCATTGAGTATAAAATATTTTCTAATCACAATTTCCAAACGCTATAATTCAGATGGCCCTCACCGTGGAGAATATGCGTGAAATCCAGCACCGGCGAAGCAATGCTTATCGATGATGATAGAACTTGGATTAGAACCGAGAGAAGTCCAAGGGAAACTTACTTCCCACCCTCAATACAGATTTCAATTATGGTGGTGCTTTTTGTGCTATCATCACTCTGCTCTGGACTGAATTTGGGATTGATGTCACTGTCTCCGCAGGAGCTTAAGATTCTAATGAAGTGCGGTTCGGAAACAGAAGCTAAATACGCTAGATGGATTTACCCCGTTCGCATGAAGGGTAATCAATTGCTTTCTACTGTGATTATCGTAAATGTGGTAGGCAAAAAAAACTTAAAATCTCGTTGCTTATTCGAATGAGTAATATTAAGATAGTGAATGCGGCAATCACAATTCTCATCGAAGATTTAACTGAAGGATTAATTGCATTTATTTCATCGTCAGCTGGAATCGTGGTGTTTGGTGAGATTTTGCCGCAAAGTCTGTGTGTAAAGTAAGTCAATTCAATTTTTTCGAGCAATCCTCTATTTTAAACACTGTCAAGCAAAGCGAAACGACACTTTAAAAATATATTTTTTTTTGGTTATCATGTAAATTTCTGCGAATATCTTTGCAATTACTTGGTGTAAAAAAAACACCGCGGTGTTTGCACCATATACACCATAGCATACGACACCCATGCGTTTTCATATTATATGCCCCATTTTTCACGCATTTCATTATCAATATCTCAGATATGGCCTTGCAATTGGAGCGTACACAATATGGATTGTCAAATTTTTCATGTTCATCACTGCTCCAGTCACATATCCACTGGGAAAAGTAATATTTAATGATTATGTCGATTTTCCACAAAACAAATTTTTAGATTCTCGATAAATTTGCTGGAACTGACATCGATACTGTGGATCGTCGAAGAATCGTTGAGATGCTTAAAATGAATATGGAGCAAGGCGAGGGTGATGTGGTATTGAAGCGATTCAATATTGTTGCACAAATTTTTTCATTTTCAGGATATTTCGACTTTAAAGATAGCTGTTGGAGCGATGGAGTTGCGAAAGAAAATTATAAAAGACGTCATGACGAAGATTGATGTACAATAAATGGCTTAAATAATAATTAATTGATGAATTGCAGGACGTCTTCATGATTTCTGAGAACAATGTTTTGAATGCTGAGACCATGACAGCAATATCGGATAGTGGATTCTCTCGTATACCGGTTTACGAAGACAACAATCGAAATAAGGTTTTTTGCTTTAAAATGGTTTCAAGAATCATTCAAGAAGATTTAGGTGACCTCTCTACTCTACGTGAGCGATTTAGCATTGATTGGAAAAGATAACAACATCACCGCCAAGGCGGTTGCTTCGTATAACAAGCGAAAATTACGAATTGTCGACGAAAATATGCCGCTTATCTCATTGTTGGAAGAATTCAAACTGGTAATTTATAATAATCAGTTTCGGGTGACAATTTTTGGCGTCAGGGTGACTATCATGTCGCGATGGTTGCCAAATCGCAACCAAGGGCTAGCAAAGAGTATCGAAAAAAATTGGATGATTGCGTTAAATCTACTGTGGAAGTTGCCGAAGCTGCTGCAGAATTGCTACCGATTGATTTGGAATATGACGTGACTGTGACTCTTGTCGGACTGGTAGGCTTATTAAGTAATGAAGATGCTGAAAACAATTTTACAGATTACGCTGGAAGATATCACTGAAGAACTTCTACAATGTGAAATCACTGATGAGACGGATTGCAACGTGGCGGATGAAGAGCAAAAAAAGCGAAGAGCTCACATGTCGACAAAACGTTATGTGGAGATGTTCTGCAGTGAGAAGAAAAGCGAACGACTTTCCTTGCACATGCTAGAGGTTTCCAGCTTACAAATGTAATGTCTTTTAGTAAAAAAAATATTTCAGATGACTAAGAGTTGGCTATTAGAAAAGAGTCCGCTATTTGATAGCGATCGAATGGAGTGGCAAGCATTTGAGAATTTGATTCAACGAAACATCAGAGAGGTTCCTCTTGAAGCTGATCGCAATTATTTGATGTGGAAATTTATTTTAGGTGTCTATAGTGGCGCCAAAAGATAGTTCGACACCAAGCACTGTCAAATTGTTTGAAAAGAATGTTCCCAGCAAACGGTTCATTTTAATATTGGAGGGAAAAGCAACAATAATGTTTCATAAGGTAAAAACGGCAATTGGAAATTTCTGATGATTTCTGCACTTTAGAGCGAGTTGGTTTTTGAAGTTGGGCCCTGGACATTTATTGGCGAGCCGATTTTGACAATGGTGGAAAAGTCGTTGGCTGAAGGACGCGATCCTCCGACAAGCTTCTTCTTCTTGCCAGATTACGATTTAGTAGTGAATCGCAATTGCCGATTCTTGCAGGTTTAAATAGTCTGGAAAAGCTTCAAATTAAATCTTTTTTTAGATCTCTATCACTTCGTTGATTCACTCTCTTCGGATCACACAGTTTGTGCGAAAATTGAAGTGCGCACTATTTTCATCTTTTGAGTCATATTTTTAATTTTTTTCAGAACTCCGCGACGCTCTATCGCCAGCGAAGATGAAAGCATGCCAGACTTGAAAAAGGTTTGCGCTGGAAATGTCATGTTTCATTTTTACTTTTAGATTTCCAACCAACATGACGACTACTCGACGAGAAAACGATCGCAGACAAGTGTTCCCGGAAATTTGCCAACGCCGTACATACCATTGAAAATCACATCGGCTGATGAATTAAAACCTTTGATTGAGTGAAAATGTGTAGCTATTTCTCTATTTTTCCACAAATTTATCAGCGTTTGAAAGAAATAGGGTGATTTTAAAAATATTCAAGAATTGTATTTTTTTTTTTGAACGTTCAGAGTTTGTCCGAAAATTCCAATTTTATCAAAGTATATATTATCATTTATTGCCTTTTTAGGCAAATCAATCATGTGTGTAAAACTAGTGTTGGCGAAAAATCTCTGGGTGTTAGAATATGCCGCGGTGTTTGCACTATATGAATATCGTAGCATACGACACTTTTGCAATTTTTGTCATATTTTTCAAGTGTTTCGCTATAAATATTGTAGATATGGTCATACAGTTGATATCTATACCATGTGAATCGTCAAATTGTCCATGTTCATCACATTATCAGTCAAACTCGCCGAGGATTTGAGTTCGCAATTAATTTCTTGAAAAAAAAAAGAACTGGTGATTTCCCAACATTCTCACCAATATGTGTAATATAAAAGTATTCCAAAATTCATTTGATTAAATTATTAATGATGTCTATTGAGATGGATTTGTCAATACAATCCATGCAGGTTGAATGTGGATAATTCAAGTTCAAGAATAACAATTTTCACGGATGTTGGCTTAATCGCGTTTGAAACTAGGCATCTTCGATTCTGCTCTGGCTGAGAACGGGTATAGTTTTTTAAATTTTTTTCTCGTTTTGTTAAACTATTATTCAGATCATTGTTAGTATGTCTGTAACAATATCAATAAGGACGAAATACGAGAATACTCAAAAAATGAAACATGACTTATGTTCAATTTAATGTTAGAAATTTTTATTTTAATAAAATGATAAATTTTCTTCCGAATTGAAATGAATGATATCCATTCGAAGATTATTATAGAAACGCCTAAACTACGTAAAACTCTTTATAAGGCATAAATGTGCTCCGATAAACAGTGAAGAGACCTTCTTGAAACTGATTAACAAATCACGCTAGATCAAAAAGAATCATTTAATATGCAAGAAGTATTCTAGAGCAATTTTTCGGGTTTCGAAATTTTATGCAGAAAACAGAGCATTGCCTTTTTTACTGACGGCAAGATTGGAGATTATAAATGAAGATTATTAAATTCTAATTTTTTTCGTCAGTTTCATACATGGTGTTTGTTAAGAGCTTGCTCGTCTCCACGTGGGACTATCGATTGAAAACATCTCGAAAGAACAAGAATGCGATGCTCTAAATATGCAACCCAGTTGTCGCAAAAACCAAGGGTCAGCGCAACAGAGATGATGGCATCCTCAAACAACTATCATCATCGCACATTGGTGGCAATTCGCGCTCATACTCTCATCATTATTTATTATTTGTTTATTTTTCGTTAATACATTTCGGATTGTTTTTCTTTCATTTAATACAATTTTTTTGAACGAAAAAAACGGCTTCTAGAATCAAACCTTATTCACATATTTACATTTAGTTTATTCATTCTTTTAATGTAATTTTACCTCAAAACTGTGAGAAATTATTTTATTTTATACCTTTAATTACCCAAATCGAATTTAAATGTGTGCGAAGTGAGAATGGGTCGCCACGCAACGAGACTAATGCTCAACAAAAAATTTTTCTCTCTATGCGCATAAAAAAACGGCGAGGAGGAGGGGGGGGGGAAGAAAGGAAATCGCAATTTTTTATATAAAAACAACGGGTAGCCATAGTGATATTATCGCTCTGCACCGCTCAACTCCAATTTTTTAAGCGCGCCATATCCAATTATTAAAAAACGTAGGCTTGCTAACTGAAATGGGATGATGCTTATACTCCTGCTTATTTTTCTTCACTATTCCGATTCGAATATATTGGAGAATTGTTATTCGACCGGATATGATTGCTTCTCATTCAAGGAGGGATTTTTCGAGTTAGCTTCAAATGTGACGTTGACAGCAGATGATGTTCCAACAGCTCAAAAGGATAGCAATTTTTCGACGCGCATCATTATCAACGATATTCTACAAAAACTAACGGCTAAAGAAAATGTCTCGATTGCCGCATTGGTATGCCTTTTTTCTTAACTCTTTCATTTAAAGATCCTCTTTTCAGGTGCTCGAAGCTGGCAATCAAAATGAAGTTGTTTGGAAAATCTCGCCGGATCTCGAAAGCGAACATCTGATTAAAATTGACAAGAGCACTTCAACGGATATTCCCTATTCCATATATGGCTTCGACATTTTGAATTATAATGAAGGATCCGGCAAGGTTACGCTTTGATTCGTTCAAGTATTTTTTAACATCTATTTTAAGCTTCTCGTAATTCCACCAAACGTCAATTTATTTTTTACAAGGACTGCGGAGTTCCATGGATGTCAGAACAATTCTCTCATTCTTCTTCCATTTATTTGGAATGAAGAGAGCCGGAATATAATCAAGGGTGTCTCGTACCTTTCGCTGACTGAGTGTAATACGGTAACATCTGTTGTATAATTTTCCAAAAACTGTCGAGTTTTATTATCAGAAATGCATTTCCCTGCCGATTCCCACGCAACTTCTTCGAATGTGCCCGAACGTGAAATTGTGAGAATAATGGAATTTTTGAAAATTTCCAAAAATTGTTTCAGTAAACCAACAGTTCATATTGATCGCCATCGCGAATTTGAGGCGCAGATTTCGGATGATCTTCTGGGATTCACAATAAAGGTCGCCAACAAATCAATGGAATTTCCAATTGGGATTTTGGATTGCGCATCACTTTTTGAAAATGTCTCAATTCTTGGAGGTAATAAATTCATTCAAATTTTTCAGATAAACATGATGATTCATAATTGAATAATCATTTTAATTTTCGAAACATCATCCTTTTTGGGAAAAAAATTAATCCAAATAAATTTCGTATATTTTTCTAGAAGCACCTTTTTGCTTGGGTGACGGCAAGAATGTGGCAATCAAGTTTGGCGCAAGTCCGATTTATCTGGCTGAAAAAATTGTCAGAACAAAGTAATATATTTTATTACATTGCTTTTCTTAAATCATTTTTTCAGAAAACCTCCAAGCAACATTTATGTCAGAAATCCCAGTGCACCGGTAAATTACTTACAGTACTTTGTAAAATTTCAATTTTTCTAGATCTATCCCAATTTCACCGTGTCCTATGAATCGGAAATTGGGCAATGCCGGAATATTGTGCGATTTGAGGTCAAGCAAATCTCAGGAAGTGGCCTATTCCCATTAACCTTCAAGTGGACTGTGATAAATGGTACGAAATTCAGTTAATGTCTTAAAATCATTGAATTGTAGGCACGAAAGAAATGGAGAGAATCGCTCTCTCAACGAATAATCGAGTATTGGAATTCCAGCGGATCGATCTTCTGCCGAAGAACACACTAATGGTGACAGTTTGTAATATTGCCGACAAATGTACAAGCGTTAATGACATTGATGTCACTTTAATTGATGACTCTTCGGTGTTCTCAGTGGCAATTGAAGGTGAGACCAAGAACATTGTGAAACCTTCAAAATCTTTTAAGGATATGAGAAAATTTCCCCAACATCATTCGGACTTCAGCTCCGGGCGATGCCATCATTCCAATCGTGTAATGCAAGCATTATCCCAAGAGAAGTGCAGGTAGCTCAATTTCAGCACTACATTTTTAGTGAAAAATTTCAGTATGAATGGATTGTCAATGGGGAAAGCAGTACGTTCGATGATTTGGTGAAGTTGCCCGCTTACAAATACAAGGTCAATGAAAACGTGAACATCACCCTTATCGCGAAATACAATCGAGAAAAGTTCTACTCATCGACCGATTCGAAAACAATACAGGTTTTTTGGGTTTCAATTCTACAGACAAATTCAAAGTCATGAATTGTAGTACGTCGGTTTGCCTTTGCTTCTTGGTTTAGATTGCGCCGAGAATCATTTTGCGCATGATCATGAGCTCATTATTCATGCGATCGCTTTCGATCCAAATCAGCCGCATGAAAAGCTTCTTTACAAATGGGATTGTCATTTATTAAATGGTGAATTTTCAATGTTATGTTTTATGTTTGGACTCGAATGATAATTTTCAGAAAGCTCCGAAGTTTCTAAAAAATGTGACGTCACTGGCATTAATTGGAAAAGGAAATCGCTGCGGATACCTGCCGGAAAATTGAAGCAATTTCAGAGGTGAAATTGATTTTAAAATTTTCGACGAACAATTTAAACCGTTTAGCTTCAATTTCTCTATTGTTGTGACAAGCGAAACCAGTCAATCAAGCGACAGTTCGTTTTGCATAGTGTCTGCCGGGCCGCCAAAATTGCCAACAATTTCTTTTATTCGACTGTCGGATAATAAGCAAAATGTCAACAATTATATAAGGTAGAGGAAGTACAATTTTTTATATCAAATTTTTTCAAATTATCTTATCAAATTGCCATTCAAATAAAACTCCTATGTTTCGATAAAAATGCAATTTTCAGAATTCAAGCGCTAGTGAACCCAGCGGCATCGAAGGTCAATATTACATGGGAAATCGTACAAGACTCAAACTATGCTTATTTCAATTTGTCTTCTATTAATGCGCATCCAACCACAATTTTGGATAATCTGAATGAGAATTCACAAGTTGCTGTTTCTCTCATCATTCCGCCAGCAAGTCAAATGTATCCGGGATGGTTGGGACTTTTGGCTGGAAAAACGTTTCTGATAAGACTTTGGGCTACAAACTCAAGAGGGACATCATTCGCGGACCTTCATTTGCATACCAATTCTCCGCCTCAAAAAGGAGCTATTGATGTTTGTTATTTAGTTCGTTCAAAGCGTAGGCCCTTGAGATTACTACTACATATAAGATATAAAAATTCCGGAAACAGCATATTTCATTCCTTAGGTGACATCAACTACTACCGAGTTTACTGCTCTTGATACACCCATCAAACTTTCAATTGGGGATGGCTGGACTGATGACATTGAGGATTTGCCACTGAGCTATACATTCGGATTGAAAACGCTTTTCGAAAACGGCTCGGATTCAATTCAATGGCTTCGAAAGAGCACCGCAAAAACTCAGATGCTTTATTTGCCAACGGGTCTGACTGAACGAAAACAATTTTTTTTTTGAAATTAATTTTTCAGCATCAAAATCGCCAAAATCGACATGCGATGGTAGAATCGGTTATACTGCTGTTCTCAAGGTATGTGATCGTTTGGAATCGTGCACCGAAGGGGAATCGGATAAATTCGAAGTGATGATGAACAGTAACCTGACAGTGTCTGTCGCTGGTTTGATAAGCAGAATCAATGCTGACATTGCAAATGGTATAAGTGCTGGAGACAAAAAGAAATGAATCAGAAAATTGTAGGCAATTTCATGTCTGCTATTGATAAAATTAATTCAATCAACATTGAAACATGCGTTAAGAGCTTTGACATCGCTCTCACCGACAAAGTTGCTCTGCTGCTCATTCAGTCTTTGGATGAGTCAACGTACAGCTTGACAAATAATCCATATTGGCAAATTTCTTTAAGGGAATCGTTGGAGTTCCAAGAAGCCATCAAATCAGCATTGACACTTCTTCCAGTGGTGTCTTCCGATGTTCTCACCGAGTTGATCAGTACGCTCGAGAGTTATCGAATATTGATGGGTCATAGCGGCAGGAATCGTCAAAAGAGAGCGGCAACGCTGGAAGAAGAAACGATTAAAGTTTATCAAGCAACAGAAAGCGAGGCACGGCATATTACAAAAATCGAATGAACATCTGAAATTTTAGGCAAATGACATGCTCAAGGTTTATGATATTCTCATAGGAAAGGACAAACCAGTAATTGATGTGTTCTTCCTTAATATTAATGATTTTTTGACGGGCCTTTGTGTACAATTAGACGAGAACTCCGATCGAGCTATGAGTGCTACAGTATAACAATTGATTCATTATTTCATTCATTAGAGCAACTTTTAGGGATCGGGATATACTGAAATCAGATCGCAAAGCATTAACGCAAATCTGGAAACCTATACCGGCCTGTACAATATTAGTGGGAATCCCATGCCAAAGGTGAAGATATTGCGGCTTAGAAGTGCATTGTTATTCAGACCGTTTACAGATTCACCTCACAAGTACATTCGCCGATCAATATCGATCTTGGACCTGCGGAACTACCTACACATCAACTTGTCTGCACATTTGTTTGGGCTCAGCGTGGATCTCCCAAACAGCAATGTTCGACAACTCATTCCTGGCAACATACTTGTTCGACAATCAATATTATTTGAATGCCAATCGTTCTGTTTCTGATTTATATCAGGTATTATGACCATTTTTATAATATTGTCAACATTTTTTTTTAGATTTCGTTCATCGATCCTTTATCGGGTAACATTGTAAGACCTGCTTCAGCTTCAAACTTGTTCTCGGTGGCTATTCCATTGTACAACTACAATCCCATCGATTATTACGAGGTATTCTTAGCAACATGAATTAAATTTCATCAAGAATTACAGTGTTTCCTATTTAATCAACATATTGGATGGCAGGGAACAAGCTGCTCGTCGCCAGACTACGCAGTAACCAAGGATAATGTGAACTACATGGTTTGCAACTGCACAATGAGCGGAATTGTTGGGTAAGTTAAAAAAAATGTCAAATCTAGTATTTTTTGTAGTGTTTTTCACGTGAACCCGCCAACACCGGCAGAAATCTCAAATCACAATGAAATTCAAGTTCTCATTGAACTTGATGTGCAGCTAACATCAAATGACGTTTCCAAGTTCTTCTATAAACTTGCGCAGCTCTCTGAAATTGATTTGAGGTAATAGGTGGGGGGGGGGTAATACTAACCAAAAACATATGGTGTATTTTTAGAAGATTTGTAAAGCTGTCAAATAAGGAGAATAAGACGATTTCGGCCGTTCTCCGCCCGCTATTTCTAAGCACGCATCAGAGCAATAGCTATGCCCTTCAGGCCATAAAGAAGGCGTTGGGATACGAAAAAATGTTGAGCAATGTGAACGTTGAAAAATTCTCATATAAAGTCATTCAACGCGGTTCGTTGTAACTTTGAAATTATGCTTTAAAATTTTCAAGCGATTTTAGATCTTCAAGGCGATAGAAATGCTCGAAAAATTCGGATAAATTTAAATCAATCATATGCAAATGCTTTGAGGAACGAATCGGATGAATATGCGAAAAAGTGGACGCAGAATATTGCGAATATGTTGCAAATATCGGAATATCGATTGAAGAATGCGAAAATTTTCTTTGGAGTGGTGTTTAATTTCACGGTGACCGTGCCATTCAGTGATGAGGTTCTTCCACTGACGGCTGATGAGATTTCCCTAATGATTCAAGTAAGCAAATGCTCCGATTGATTTAATCATTATGTTTAGGAGGCATCGGTCTACGGCGAGCTGCAATTCAGTGTTCTGGAGGAAACTGTTCACGTTAACCCAATTAAGAACACCGACATATTTCAATTGTTGGTGATCAAGGAGACGAATTCGCTAATGATTGCGATAATAGTGGCACTATCAGCAATTCTTGGAATCGGCACACTATTCATTGGTGGAGCTGTAATTGTCAAAATAAAAACCGATAAGCTTATTGAGGAGGTATGAACACTTTGACGACCTTTTCCTATGAATGAGGGGAGTTCAGGAAAGGCGACGGGCAATTCTTGGTGAGGTGTTCCGAGTCCCACCACCGGAATATGACAATGTTTCATCAACGCCCGCGTATCAGCCAACGACTGTTGCAGGCCAATATCGTGAGTTTTTTAAGGCGAAAAACCTGCGGAACAATTAATTCGTCTGAAATTTTTGAAAATTTCAGCTCATCGTCGCAATCGACTCGAAACGCGTCATTACTAAACGATTCTCTGTCATTTCTAAATATAATTGAAACAATCAATTATTATGATATCATTCGTTCAAATAAATTTTTAAACCAATTAAATTTTCAATATGTTATGCTTTATTACCGTTGATATCGGAATATTTACGGATTACGTTGTAATGAATGAGCGTATTATGTATTCATTTCAGAATGTCGGCCCAATTTTTGGAAGCTTTGGTAAGTGTGAAAATTCTTCAAAGTCCAATTTTAAAATTTTTTAGATGTATCTGGACACCATCGAATACGACTTCAATGAAATGAAGAATAACATGGTAAATTTTTGACATATTTAAGACAATCCCTATCTTTTTATGTTTCAAAATCCGATGTACTTTCGTTTAAGCCGCAATTACAACGCTGATTTTGAAATGCTGAAAATCCCGTTCGACATTAACCAATTGAGGGAGAGAGTAGTGAAAGACAAAGATTGCGCTCCTCGCGTTTTAGTAAGTTTTCGTTTTTAACAATAAAATGAAAAATTGAAAAAAAAAAAACATTTGGTAATTTCAGTTGGAAGCAAGAGATGTTCGTGAGAGATTTGAGAAGATCTACAAGATCGTTCTTCCAAATATTCGGGCTAGAACTGGACATTCTTAAGCAAACTATCCTCGTCATATACCACACACTAGCCTTTTTCTACGTAAATGTAGACTTTTAATTTTTTTTTGATCTCTAAAAAAGGAACGACACCACATATGGGTTTAAGCAGAACTTATCAGAATCTCATTATCACTTTCAATACAGTATATTAAATATTATTTGCCCATTTCTCCAATATTACTATAATATATTTTGGTTCCCTTTTCATATCATACATCCTACGTTATTCAATTCAATTCATTGTCTACATTGTGACTATAAATAAAATAATTCAAATTATTTTAATCTTTTGCGAATTTTAATTAGTAAAATATGCAATTTCATTAAATAAAAACCTTAAAACACGATTTAAAACTACTTAAATGGCAATGCGTAAAATAATGATATGAAACATGATAAAAAGTCGAAAAAATTTAAATTTTACCACATGAAAATTTAGGCTTATTCGGTGATTCTTATCTTACGTCACAATTTTTTTCACGCATTTTCGCCACAGCCTCTTGGTTCAATTATTGATTTTCAAACTTCAGGTGTTAATAAATCAAGAGCATTGCTAAAAAAAATGAATTATACTTGTGAGAAAATCCAAAAAATGCAAGTCCGCAAGCATCGCTTTTGGCGGCTATTAAAGCTTTTAAATTTCGTAGAAATTTCCTAGTTTGGGTGGCATCTTTAATGTGAGTAATGCTTCGATGGCAAAAAGCGATAATGGAAAATTAATGATGTAACCTCAATTAGTGGCAATCTTTTATGTGATTTTCAAGAAAATAATGATATTATTTGGGAACTGAAGTGAAGCACATTGCGCTTGTAGCTAAATTGAGCGATATGTTGTATATAACCGGTCCCAGCGGCGGTACAATCGACGTACTCTGAAGTTTGCCCGGTCGATCAAAGCCTAAAGGAGACCATATATGAATGTGGAGTTGGAAAATTTTCTAGAATATTAATTCTTTCTACCATTTATTTTTTTTATACATTTTGGCAAAACCAATAGGTTCCGAAGCTAGTTTTTTTTTTTTCAATTTTTAGGCGAATATATCAAAAATCATTAGTTTTTGTTCCCATAGAAGAGAAATGAGTGATAAGGTGAGAAAAAATTGTCACCTCAGTGTACTCGTGATCATGAACATTTCTTGATAAACAGTTGATTGATTTCACCGCAATACAATAAATTATGTTCGCCAATCGGTTCAACACGTTTTCCATATCCGGATCTTCGAACCGATAAAGGAATTGCTGAAAATGTCGAGATGAGAATTTTTTCAAAAAGTGGACTTGCCATTATCGCTAGGATTTCATCAACGCGAGGCTCATTGAGCCTCCAAAACTCCTACAAATTTAACTGTTTATGACGAAAAATTTTAAGAAAATCATACCTCACAAATTGGCATTGTTCACCGTCGAAAATGAAAGAAAATAATGGGTTGAATTAAACGCAATTAATTGCGAAAATTAATGATGAAAGTTGAATGGCTTATATCCAAGAAATATTGTTAGCGGTTGTCACTAAAAGTCTTGCCGTTATTATTTTTTTTTGCGACCAAGGTTATTACAAGCATCATTTTGAAGATCAGACTAAAGAAAATGATATATTGCAAATATGGGCAATTGAAACTAAATCGAGATACTCGATGCTTTAAAGAACCGCGCGTAATAGAGTTAATCAAGTTTCGCGTCACTAAAATATTCTCATTTTAACAATTTCACCGCAATATGCGTGAGAAAAAAGAGTGATAAATGTTTCTAATTTTTACACATTTCTCGAAATTCCAACGTTTCAAAAATTGTCAAATCTTGGCATAAAAGTTGTTTCAAATTTGACGAGCGAGGGGGCACCCATGAGAAATAAATGAGGCAATTATTGTTCCAGAGCGACAAATATTGTTTAAAGGGCATTCAGTTGGTCATATACTACTAAGAATTTGAAGAGGCATCAAGTTGTGAAAGTGCACAATGAGCATCATTTCGTGGAAAAATAGTGCATCGGAAGGAATCAAATGTTTAAAAAAGGTGCCTTAGTCTACAAAACAGCGATAAAAACATGTTTCTCATTCTCAGAAATGCCTTATAAAATGAATGTCGGAATTCTCATATTCCTTATTGTGAAAATCTGTTATTTTTTCCAAAGAATAAAATAAATCAAAACGCTTTAACCTGTTATTCCGGTTCCAAAAATCTGACTGGTAATTCTAATTGTTTAATATGTTCAAGTCAATTTTGATGTTGTCGATTATTAATTCTACAAGAGTGAGACTCTGAAATTGAAACATTTGGTTTTGAATCTTCAAAGATTTATAAATTACCAAAGCGTTGATACCAATCGTTATGGCTTTTGAACACTCAGTTTTATGTTATGAAATAATTCTTTTCTTAATTTTTTTTAAATTTAATTTTAAATAGAGTGAATCCATAATGTGTTCCTAAGAATGTGCTATATTTTTTATATTTAAAAAAGAAAAGTCTTACATTAATTTTTGGTGATTGCATCCATTGACAACATTAGACTTTCCATCTGAAAAAAATAGTTATTTTATAGAAAGTAATGTGGTCCTTTTACATAATACTTAAGAGGATAGCGCTTATTTGGCATTTGTAAAGCTGAAAGAAACGAAAAAGTTTATTCTTAAAATTTTTGTAAGAATTGCGAAGCGCATTGAGAACATTAAATCATTACCGAAAAAGGCAACGGAAGGAAATAAACTAAAAGCAAACAAAATTTCTAAAAAAAAACATTGTCGCCGTGATCTTTTTTTCACTTATCTGCATACTCTGTGTGTTTCTCCTTATCATCTTTTATCTTTGATATACACTGAAAATTTCAAACCGCAATTTTTCGCGCTCAGTCATTTTTCCACATGTTTTTCCCATGCACAACATTGTGCGCCAACATTCAAAAAAATACAATCAATCATCATACACATCCGCTATTTGGGAAATAGTTGAATATCAGCGAAAACGTATCTGAAATTTAAAAAAAAAACATATAGTCAAAACCATTCAAACTTTATTCACGTCACATTTTCGCAGACAATATGAATGTTTTAAGTATCTGGTTGAATATTATCCATTTACCAAACACACAACTGAATTGGGCAGTATTAGTTGTAAGTTTGATAAAAGAAAAATACTCGTCCAGCTCTACAAAATTCTTCGTTCCAATGGCAAAACTAATACTTGATATTTTTTGAATGTGCCAGACGGCGGGGGCTACTTCAGACGATTGTTTTATGGATGGGGAATGATTTGGAATGATGAGGGAAAGGGAAGAGAGCGCAGGCAAAAAAAAACAAAGACAAAACGACGATGATTTTGTCAGAACGACGCGAATAATCAATAACTTTGATAATCGATAAAATATGTCAAGGGGGAGGAGGATCAAAACATTAAAGATGTATATAGTTAAATCTACAAAATGTTCAATCTATCAATTATTACAGTATAATTTTCTCGAAGAATCGAAATTACAGAAAGGATTCTAGAAAGTCGTGAAATTATTGAACCAAGTTATACGGAAGACTTTTAAATATACCTACAAAAATTAATTGATTAATTTTGAGAACAGAGTAAGGAAAGTGAGGGGGGGGGGTCAAGAAATGTATAAAGAAACAATTGAAACAACATAGATTGTATTAAAATATCAACCGGAACTTTCTCGCATAACAATCGGAAACTCCTCGAAGTATATTTGCTCAATATCATAAAGAAGGCGCTCCGCATTGAGAAGCATCATCTAAAGGATTGGTGCTTAGAATCGAGCTGAGATTTACTAATGATTTAAGACTTACGAAGAAAAAGTAGCGATTCGTCTCATCAAGACATGCATCCAGGCAGTTCTCCGCCACTTGGATCATCTCAAATGGAATTCGCAATTCTTCATTGGAATACGTCTCTCGGAGAAGATTCTGCAATAAGAAAATATAATTTTAATAAGTCAATTTTGATAATTTTGGTATTTTAAATATACTGTTAATCCGAATATGGCGTCAAGGTGATCATTGACATTGCTGAAAGCCTCCTCAAACATTTATTGGAGTGATTATTTATTTCAAAATGTTTCAACTTACAGCATACTCAATAAAGTAGATCATTTAGAGACAAGAAATGAGGTTATGCTGAAAAATGAAATGACAAAATTGGGAATTGTTAGAAAACAATCAATTAATGGGGCTGTAGTTGTTGCTTTTTGTTTTGGTAATTATTATATTCAAAATTTCTCACGATTTGATGCTCTCCGTAAATGGGAAATTTAATTTAATTTGAATGAACTGCGATTGATGCAAAACGACCTTGCAAATAATAATTATGTTACCTTTTTTCTGTGAGGAATATTCTATACTATTTAGAATTAATTAATAAAGCGAAATTCTAAGCTTAAATGTGAGTGATATAAATGATAACGACCAAAATGAAGAGTAAAATATTATTTTTTGTTTAAAATTTTATGAGAATTGTAGGCGAAAGTTTAAGGAGCACACAATTCATAACTCAATTGTTCTAATTTTCACTATGCGTTGAAAAAATCATATATTGCATAAAATTAAAAGTTCAAATTAACCCTAGCTTTGATCAGTACAGATTGCGAGAGGTCAAATTTAAAAAAAAAAATTAAGGTTTCGGAATTCAATTATTTTCTCAAAGATGTTTGTTGTTAATTTTTTGCCGAAAGAGCAATCTCACGAGTGAAGTTGCGGCCAATTTTTTTGAATTTTTTTTGTTAATATTTTAGATTTAACAAGATGTCTCTTAGAATTTTAATGTAAACGAAGTAATTCTATTGAACGCAGGAAGTAAATACTCGAAAAATGCGAAATTCGATTTTATTTTATACGATAATATTTTTCTGTTTCATTTTTGCTAATCTAATTAAGTTTTAATTCAATTATCGATTATTGTTAAATAAGTGATTTATGAAAAAAAAAACCGTTTTGGGAAAATTATTGAAAAAAACCAAAATTTATATATTTTTCAAAGTTAAATTATTTCTACTACAATAACGTTTTCGACGCCCACTATGGTTTTCAGATTTTTTATCCCGTAATTTGGTTTATAGCTTTAATAAATCTGCAAAGAAACCCGCATTTTAAAAATAGGGATGGCTCTGTTGGTAAAAAAAATCATTTTGCCTCTTTTCCCATCATTTTGATTAGAATTGATTTACATTCGTTCCCTTCCCATTTTTTTCCCGATTCTCGCGCCTTCAATATTTGGAATAATTGCAATAAAAATTTTTTACGTAAAATATGTCGATTTGCCGGATTTTTCCATTAATTGATTTATGAAAACTTGCATCTCAGCGATTTTCAAGCGGACTCGCTGCATATCCTTGAACTGTTTTGGTCTTGACCACAGTAGTGGTGCTTTTTTCCGTTCCATCTTTCATTTTCCTTCTTCCGCGAATTGATATTGCTTCTGTTAACCTTTAAAAAATTTCCTATACAGCGAGACTATAAATGGACTAGTGGCGATGCACACACTCACGGAAGGCGCTGAATATCTGGAATCGAATGAAGGAATTCTGTTCGAGTTACAGGGTGTCATTTAAGTTCCCGCACAAAAGTTTGACACCATGAAGAGCTTGGCTGTTGCACTTTTCGTGCACCAATACAACTTATTTTTGTTAAATAAGGTATATTTTACTTACTTTCCAAGTTTCACCACATTCGGATGTGTTTCCGAGAAATGGCGAAGGCTAACATCCATCGCGCTTCCATTATCGAACTTCATAAGCAAAATGTGAGCCCGAGAGACATCATTCAACGGGTCGGTGTGCTTCGTAGAACGGTTTACGACACCATCAAACGTTTCAAGGAGCTAAATACGACCAGTGACCTTCCCAGACAAGGAAGACTCGTCTCAGTAACCACTCCTCAGAAGATCAACGCCGTCAAATCGAGGATCAGGCGAAACCCCCACAGGAGCATGAGAAAGATGGCGTCAGACATGGGAATGAGCATCTTCGCTATGGAACAAATCGTCAAAACGAAGCTTGTACTGACTCCATATCGTGTCCAAAAAGCGGCAATTCTATCGGCCGTCAACAAGCAGAGACGCTTCGAAAAAGCAAAACGACTTCTTGCTCGCACGCGGTCTGGACAACACCTCGTCACTGTCTTCTCCGACGAGAAGCTGTTCACTGTGGAGGCGGCATTCAACTCACAAAACTATTGAGTACTTTCCCAGACATCCCAGCAAGCTTCTGGGAAAGGCAGAACAATTCATCGAGCCTCGCATCCTGCCAGTGTGATGGTTTTCGGTGCCATCTGCTCAACAGGGAAGTGCCCCCTGGTTTTCGTGGATCAGGGGGGTGAAAGTGAACAAAGAAGTCTACGTTCGGGACATTTTGGAGAAGCATGTGATGCCCTGGACCCAAACGCATTTCGGTGGGCAGAAATGGGTCTTTCAACATGACGGAGCAGCCGCCCACACTGCCAAAACTACTCAGGAGTGGTGCCAGACCCATTTTCCCGACTTCATCAAGTCATCCGAATAGCCTGATTGCTCCCCAGACCTGAACCCGCTTGACTTTTCCGTGATGGGGTCTTGCAGGAGAAGGTCAACGCAAAACCCCACTAAAATGTAGAGACTCTGAAGAAGACATTACTGGCGGAATGGGACAATCTTTCCATCGAATACCTGCGTACCACAGTCGAATCCTACCCAAAGCGTCTTCGTGAAGTCATAGCTGCGAAAGGAGGCCGAATCGAAAAGAGTTAATAGATAAATATTTGTTATACTATAGATAAAAAATATTTCGAGTCTTGTTTGATTTGGACTTTTAGTTTCAGAAATATACGTCTTCAAAGTTGTGCGGGAACTTAAATGACACCCTGTATAATCGTAACCACATATTCGCAACAAATTTGACAAATATTTATTGTAATTTATTAAAAATGATTTATTTGGAAAAAACAAATACATAGTACAGTTTGTCCTTCTCAATAGCATAATGTCATTTACTTATATCGATGAAGAGTATCATTCAAATTGTGTTGCAGTAGTCACGCGGGTAAAGGCTCCTTATCCAAAGAGGAAACTGTTTGTGGGTTATATATATCGCCCTTGACAATAATTTCTTTGTTTTACATATTTATGATCTTATTAAATAATTTGTTTCGATAATTATGAACTAAAGAATATCTATCATATTTGTGAATATTACTCATTAAAATCAGCTGAATTCATAAAAAAAAAACATCACTTTTCGTTCATTGATTAGACATAGATGTATATAATTCAAATAAATATTAGCGTACCAACGATGAGGCGTACATAAGAAATGAGAATTCAGTTTGTTTAAATTCTGAACGACTGTTACCATTTCAGAAAACTACAACAGAATTTTAGGGATTACAGGGTGTCATTTAAGTTCCCGCACAACTTTGAAGACGTATATTTCTGAAACTAAAAGTCCAAATCAAACGAGACTCGAAATATTTTTTATCTATAGTACAACAAATAATTATCTATTAACTCTTTTCGATTCGGCCTCTTTTCGCAGCAATGACTTCGCGGAGACGCTTCGGGTAGGATGTGACTGTGGTACGCAGGTATTCGATGGAAAGATTGTCCCATTCCGCCAGTAATGTCTTCTTCAGAGCCTCTACACTTGAGTGGGGTTTTGCGTTGACCTTCTCCTGCAAGACCCCATCACGGAGAAGTCAAGCGGGTTCAGGTCTGGGGAGCAAGCAGGCTATTCGGATGACTTGATGAAGTCGGGAAAATGGGTCTGGCACCACTCCTGAGTAGTTTTGGCAGTAGGGGCGGGTGCTCCGTCCTGTTGAAAGACCCATATCTTCCCACCGAAATGCGTTTGGGCCCAGGGCATCATATGCTTCCCCAAAATGTCCCGAACGTAGACTTCTTTGTTCACTTTCACCACCTGATCCACGAAAACCAGGGGCACTTCCCGGTTGAGCAGATGGCACCGAAAACCATCACACTGGCAGGATGTGAGGCTGGATGAATTGTTCTTCCTTTCTCAGAAGCTTTCTGGGATGTCTGGGCAAGTACTCAATGGTTTTGTGAGTTGAATGCCGCCTCCACAGTGAACAGCTTCTCGTCGGAGAAGACAGTGGCGAGGTGTTCTCCAGACCGCGTGCGAGCAAAAAGTCGTTTTGCTTTTTCGAAGCGTCTCTGCTAGTTGACGGCCGATAGAATTGCCGCTTTTTGGACGCGATATGGGGTCAGTCCAAGCTTCGTTTTGACCATTTGTTCCATAGCGAAGATGCTCATTCCCATGTCTGACGCCATCTTTCTTATGCTTCTGTGCGGTTTTCGCCTGATCCTCGTTTTGACGGCGTTGATCTTCTGAGGAGTGGTTACTGAGACGAGTCTTCCTTGTCTGGGAAGGTCACTGGTCGTATTTAGCTCCTTGAAACGTTTGTTGGTGTCTTAAACCGTTCTACGAGGCACACCGAGGCGTTGAATGATCTCTGTCGGGCGCTCATTTCGCTTATGAAGTTCGATAATGGAAGCGCAATGGATGTTAGCCTTCGCCATTTCTCGGAAACACATCCGAATGAAGTGAAACTTGAAAAGTAAGTAAAATACACCTTATTTAACAAAAATAAATTGTATTGGTGCACGAAAAGTGCGACAGCCAAGCTTTTCATGGCGTCTAACTTTTGTGCGGGAACTTAAATGACACCCTGTATTTTCGAACTTCTTAATCTTCATTGTTGTTGATCCTTTATAAACCTTTTGAAATCGAAATGATCGAATTTTATTTACATAATAGCGAACAATATCATGATCAAATCTAAATAAATAATCAATGCCTTGTTAGAAAAAAGAATGTCACTGGAACGTTTATCAAAAAATAACAACAATTGCGAAAAATCGGGTAAAATCCATCAGAATACCAAAAAATAAACACATTGAACATAAATAAATGAACCGAAAATCAAATAGAGGTTAAATAAATAAATTCCGCCAAGATCAGCATATGTTTTCAATTCAGTGAAGATATGACTTGAGAGAACAAGCCTGCATTTTCAGAAGGTATTTCATAATCATGAAATTATAAATTATTACAATCATTTAGCAGAAACACTTCTTTGGGGACCGAAGAAAGATTTGACAAATTTCTCGCCAATGCAGAGAGTTTCGCACGACGCTTGTAGCATTTGCTTCAAATCAGCTTATAGAATATATACTTACATTTAAAACCAACCCGTCGAAAATGCTTGTCGTCGCTTTTCATTGCGTAGTGATATCGTGCGGCGGCTTTTGATAGAACGAAGCAGCTAAACTTCATTTTTTCAAGATGATCCGGTCTGCTGTAATCAGCGTTGTCCATCTGAAATAATCAATATTTGATTCATCTTGCGGTTGATTCATTTACCATCATCTTGAAAGCTCTCTCGAGGCGGTCATGATGAGTGTCAATGTATTTACGCATCTTCATAAACTGAAAAAATAATTTTAAGTTTTGGGTTTAAGATTGTTGGCAATATTTTAGAAATACAAAATCTTTGACTTCGGGGAAACCGGCATATTCAATTCTTAAAAAAACTGTTTGAAAAATATTACTACTCTGGCTTATATTTTTATAGTGCCCAAAGGTTTGAGCCAGTTTGCTCCTGGAGCAAATCTAGAGATTTTTTGTAGCTGACCAGCCATATCATTATCTATAAACTTTAATAAGGCTTACCTTCTTGAATTCGTTGAAACGACGCTTGTAAAACAATCTGGCCGAATTACTCTCGGCATTATCTCCCTCATTAACTGGTATTCCCCGTTCTCGAGCTTCGGCTTCTCTGTGCCGATCGATAAGTTGAGCATTGAGCCCCGCAATAAGTCGAGAAACCGCTCTCATCACTGTAGGAGACGTTGCCCGGTCATCAGCACGAACGCCTTCCGATGTTGACGTTCCGTGCTCGCTCGATTTTGTGGAAGCCCGCGCGGCATGCTTTTTCATTGACTCATTCATTTCATCATAATCAGTGTCCGACGAGTAGTCCCAAGAAGCCAGCGAGCTCGACGACAAACAGATATCGCTGTTTGACATTTGCGAGAGTGGCTGAAACGGAAAAAATTTATAATTGCCAAAAATTGGGTAAGTAAGGTTCCAATTTCTTTTTTTCGCAATGCCTCATATTTAGCAATGTTAGCTTAACGATTTCCCAGAGAGCTAAGGGAATTTTTTTTTACAAAAATGAAAAATATTAAATTGAAAGTGCAATTTTTCACAATCCTGCATTGAAATTTTTGTATGAATACGTCCATTATTAATTTCAGAATTTTTCTTATAATGGAAAGTTGGAAAAAGCACCAATTGCACCAATTTTTTGCAGTTTTCAATGATACCACCATTTTTCTAGGCAATAATTTGAAACAAAAAAAAAAACAATTCAATTATTTCTCATTGACTCACAATGTTATTAAGAGGTCCCTTGTTTTCTTCCTCTTTGCTTTCTGGATTCTTGATCTTATCTTTCGGTTTTATCACCAACTCAACAACTCCAACAGATGAATTCGGATCGCCACTTGTCTTCAATCGGGCCGCCTGTGTTTCCTCCGGAAAATCCTCAGGATTGAGTTTTGTCACAAGAATATCAATCAAGTCTTTTGCCAACGCCAAGGGTGAATCCTTGATAAAACTCATTAGAACAGCCACTTGCTGTTCTTCTGTGAATTCTTGACTCGTATCCATCATCACCGGCGGTTGGAAAATTCCGGGAAGCGCTTCCGAATTTTTTTTCGCCATTTGCTTCTTCAGTTTTTTCTTCTTATTCTTTGATAACGCAGAAGTATTTTGCGATGTTGCTCCATCATGGACTGAAGTGGCCGCAAGAGCTGTTGAAGCGGTGTTTGACGCCGCCGATGGAAGCTCTTTTCCAACACCTTTTTTCATTTCGGCATTCGAATCCGAAGAAGAGACTTTTTTGCCGTTTGTTGAAAGCGAATCCTGAAAAACTTTGATAAGCAAACATTATTTGAAAATTGAAGGTTACTGTCTGTTTTTCCATATCCTTCTGTTTTCCAGAGACCTTATTTGCCGTTTGAACGTTACTCAAGTCCATCCGGATTTTGATCCCGTATATCCTAGATCCCGAAATTCCTAAATTCGTAAATAAATTTTTCAAATTTTGAAGTGCAATGCAAATATTTATAAGATCCCTTTCTTCCTAATAAATTGTTACTCCTAATCATTAAAAAACCACATCGAGCTGAAAATTAAACCTGTTGATAATCGGCTAAACAAGTTTCGCTAGTAGCAATCGAAAATACGCTAAAATTTTAGGCCACATGACAAAAATCGATAGCTAGCTAAAAAGGACGCTAAAAACAAATTCAAATTGAAACGTGCGGCAATGTGCGGTTGAGCGCAATTGCTGCGAACTCTGACTAAGCTTATCGATTTAGTTCGTTAGAGTTGGCTTGAAGGTGATAAGCATGAAAAAAAACAAGAGTGAGACATCTATAAAGAATTGAAATAAGTAGTTTTTCTGATGATTGTAAACCGTTTTTAAAACGGTATCAATGTGAGCGCTTATTTTCGGACTGTAATGCAACCTGAACCTGGTCAATATTAAACGTGCAATATGTCGTTGAAAACAGAAACTCAACTTTTCTGAATAAAAGAACATCCAACTAATGTACTTTGAACATGCTATTTATTCATGCACTTTCAAAAAAATGTGTGGCATATTTATCATATCATTTTCCGCTCACTACTGATAAAACAATCAATTGATTTTTTAATGTTGTATAAAATGTGCTACAATATCACAAGGTGCATGGTTTGAAATAATCAGAACTAGCTAATCCGATTCTTGTTTGAATATTTTCTGCATTCATAATTGTGTAAACTCTAGTAACTCAAAATCAATCGGATCCGACAAAATTCGCCTCCCGAATGAATCTTATCCAATTGGAAATTTTATTGATTAGATTGTAAAATTGTTTTTTAGGGATACCATTGGTAATTTGTCGGATCCGATTGGTTATTATTCAATTCCGTTTTGTTTTATTTTTTCTATTCAAATTTTATCCGATAAATTGCCAATGGGATCCAACAAATATTCAATCGTATTGGTAGAATTACGAATCGGATCGGGTTGATTCCGAAGCCGAATTTTGCCGGATGCGGGTTTTCAGTTACCAGAGAATTGAGTATATTCTCAGATGCTGGGACCCGAACGATACCCGGAAACGCATCATGAGCGGCTTACAAACGCTATCACAAAAGTGGCACGTAAATTTTTGGACAAATTCCATGAAGTGAATCCAAAATTTCAGATGAATCAAACGGACCGCAATAATGAAACACAATTGTGTAAAATGAAAACGGCGAACCTGCTGCTTACGAGATCGGCTGGATCGTTTTATTACTCTCAAGGTATCAACGATGAATGTTTTCGAAACGTAAGGTTGTTCTTTCAAATCATATGAAACCAATATCAGCTTTCAGATACTTTTGGTGTACTCGGAAAGGGTTTTAGATTATGCCGAAGAATTTATCGCGAACAACTTCCCGCAAAAATCTTAGCTCAATGAAGGTTATTGGCTTGAATAAATGTTACTTGAAACGGTTGTATTTGATTTTTAAACGAGATAATTGAGTCCTTACGAAGGATTGAAAAATAAGCTTACGCATGGTGTTACATCATGCAAACCCGCTTAACAAGTTTTTTATTGCCAAAGATAGAAAACAGTTGTTTATCAATGAAAAACACAATCGTTATATATCAGTTCAAAGTACAAATTTAAATTATTTGAAAATTTCGCAAAAAAAATCGCGAAAAATTGTTTAAATTACTACAAATTATTTTTTTTTGTGCCTACATTTTACATTTTTATCAGCTTCTTACAACCATCCTTATTTCAAATCATAACTACTTGTTGATTACGAAAATTGTAGCCAAAAATTTTATTAAATTATTAATCCAGATTGTGTCTGAGTGGGGATTAATCATCCCTGCGAATTGCCGCCCGTAGAAAAAACAATGACGAAAGAGTGTCTGTGATAGTGAGAGGTTGCAAGAAGCCGAGACAATTTTTTGGCACGGCCGTTTCCAACGCGCGATTTGTCTCGCATTTTTATTCGAATCGCCTTCAATTTGATGCAATGCGCAAAAAACGCTCGACGGGACTTCTCTGCTTGTTCTCCCCAGAAAAACGTCCGCGCTGACCGCGAAATTCGCGGCCACAAAATACGAATGACGAGCTTCTGCTAATTATTCGAATGTCAATATTTTGATTTCTAAAATTTAATTTTACGATTCACGTTGTTATTCTTTTTTGAAAATTTGTTTTTCGCTAAATAATATGCTTTTTGTAGTGTTTTATAAAGGCTTACTAACTTTTTTTCCATTATATGATCAATTGAAATTTGAACTTCCGATTTATTGCTTAGCCAGCCAAAAACATTCTTGCTATACAAATATACTTTGCAAAAAGAATCGCGTTACTTATTGTTACTAATAATTACAAATTAGCTGCTTTTCCACACTAATAAGCTGTAATAAGTATTCATAAATGCTCCGTTCTCAAAAAGTTTTTATCATTATTTTTAAGTCTCTCCAGTTTGCCCAAATTTATGCAAGTAAATCCTTCTTTTTACAGAGAATTATTTATTCACCTCGCCTTTTAAAACATATTTTCAGATTGACGAAAGATGTGTTTCAGAGTGATCCACATTTTTGAATGTTCGGTAGGTTCCAACATTTTAATTAGTCTTGATAAACAATTTTAAGACGGTTTTCAATCAAGTCAATGATCATCTCGATACCGTTTTGGGCTTCACGGTACTTTAAAATTATTTTCAAAAAATGTTCGATTAAAATCAAATACCCATTCGAGGATATTCTGCGAGAGGTCTATTCCTATGAAGAGCTTCGCATTCCAATCGAGATGCTCGAAACTGCTGAGGAATTTTTGGATTCATGCCTTGATGAGACCAATCGCTATATTTTCTTTGTAAGCTTTTAAATTAATTGATAATTTTTGCTCGATTCTAACCTTCAGATGAAGCTTCTCAATGCTGAACGTCTTGTGTATGGTGTTGAGAAGATTTACCACGACACATACGAGATCGAGGAGCCCGTTTTTATTTGAGCACATTTAACATTTTGCGAATATGAATAATTCAATATCTGTAAATAAATCTGTAGCATTTAATAACAATATGCTTTAATTTTTTAATAACATATTTCATTTCTGCCCGCATTGATTTGTCAATGTTTTCTTTTCATTCAAACGGCACCGCATTTATTTGTACTTATTTCCGATCCTGTGACAATTTCACAAATTTTCACTTGTGTTTTTTTTACCAATAGCTCTGCTTCATATAGTTTATTAATTTTGTTTTATTTTTATAATACTTATTTTCATTTCGTTGGTGTTAAATCATTCCGTTATTCGAATATAAATTGAAATAATAGTATTCATTTATTTAATGCTTAAATTTTTGCCTATATACCAAAATTGAACGAACAATTTTTGAAAATTAATTATTAAATAGAAATCGCAGGATTCAAGACAAACTAGTTTAGCTCGTATTTTTGAGTATTTTTCTTAAACGCACATAGCACTATACGAAAAATATATTGGAAAAAATCGAACAAACAACAATTTGGTCCTGAATATGATATCATTGCAAGAATCATGTCGAACCGTTTCATGAATTGTTGCTATTTGCCCATGAATAGAGAATACCACCAGAATATTTAACGCCGCAGAGCGGAAACCGGTTTTCAAGGTTAAAATTGCCATAAGAAATTGCCGGAATGCTTGTTCACCTCGCAATTATCAATTGCTATTGAAAAATTCGAACAATCCTTTTTATGGTTACATCGAAAAATGTTATGACAATCGACTATAAGACAAACAACCCCCGTCGCTATGCCAATATTGATTGCTCTCGCTGCCATCCTCAATAAAGCAGCAAGTGCGCTCAATTGCTAAGCACTCTGCGTTCGCTCACCCTAGTTTCGAAAATAAGGCCTGCTTCTCTACATCGCCAAGCATTTTTGTCATCTTCATTGATTTTCAGAATGAATCCGGCAAATCCTCAAGTCAGCGAGAATAACGGCGCTGCCGACGAAGCGGCACCGGTCAGAAGGGTTTGTCGAGTATCTAATTTTATTGAAATTCCCCGTTTTCTTCAGCGTACACCGCGCACAAACGTGATTCAGCGAATTGTCAACTCAATCATCACGCGCGGAGATGGCGATTTGCCGGCGGATATTGTATGTCAAATAATAAAAAATTAAATTAAAGACGTTCAAATGAATTTTAGTGGCCACTGAAGAGCAACAACTCGACGGCACCGAGTCGCCGATCGGATTCATATCCGTTGGTTCTCATCGGACACCCAAGAAACCTCGTCTACCGACTTATTTATCAAACGGACGCCGTCATAAACAAAATCGCTGGGGATTCGGTATGTTTTATCTATCGCAATTCATCAAACGGCATTTTGATTATAGGAGGAAGATCAGATTTTCCTCGATGACCTCAAGAATCTGCAAAACGCGCTGTTCTATTGGGAGCCGCTTCCGAAAAAGACTCCGGAAGAGATTAGAGCGGTTGGTCTGAGTTTCAATACACAATGTGTGTTGTAATTATTGCAGAGTGCAATGATGAGCGTCTTCGACCAGATTCCTGAGTTGGCGCGCCAATACGATCAGCTCATGGACGTGGTCAGAAGCTTCAAGCAGCATCTCGCTGATACACGTCGCCAACAAGGAGAGGGCGAAGCCTCGCAAGGCGATCAAGAGCAATCCGAGATAATTATCCTATTTTCAGAAAAAACGTGAAAATTTGATAAACATTTTTTGAAATTTATTCATTTCGCTTTTGAAAGTAGCATACAATCAATGTTTGAAATTTCAGGAATCGTCAAGCTCGTCGAGTGGCTCGAGCTCAAGCTAAGCACCAATTCGAAGTGGCGCCCTGCTTTTCAATGTTTAAATGTTTTCTTGAAAAATTTGGTTTTTTTATTCCAATTATCATTCCATTTCTTTATGGTTCAACCATTTGGCGGAATTTTGTTCTCTTTTCATTCAATTTAAGTGGTTCGGATTTTTCGTTTGAGTAGTACTGTGTTGCTAAACCGCGTTAAAAAAATTAACTGTATCCCGATTAATCTTCATCTAAATTCTTAATTTAATTTATTTGTTGCACTCTTACCATTTTCTTTTTCTTGCCTGCATATTTGACTCAATTTAATGTTAGCTTTCCTGATCATCATCATCAATTTCCAACTGCATATTTTTTAATGACAAAATTTTTTGACGGCCATCTAGACATTTCACAAAGCATTCTCCAGTCAAGGCTTTTCCATTCATGTTTCTTTTTACCTGTGAGGTCTTCTAATATTTATTTAATTGGCTATAGAATAAAGAAAAAGTGGGAAAATTTCAGATACATTTCTTGTTGTCGATTTGGGAAGATTCGACCGGCTAGTTGCAAATAAATATACTAAGAAATGTAAGCGTTAAAAGATCTTAGAAATAGAGCTCAGCATTACAGTAAATTTTAGGCATTTATCTTGAATTTGATAAATTTTCCGTATAAGAATATTCCGTTTGAGTGTCTAGTCGAAGACACGTAGTTAAACGCGATATGTTTTAGTGAAAATCTCTAATCTTGAGTTCTCTATGTATATATATATATATAGCCATTTTTGATCATACCGCAGAAATCAACCAATTTTCGCATGAGCCTTTTATATCTACTGTAATTTTCAATGCATTTCTAACTAGATCAACTTAATTATAAGACCATGGCGCCAAAATTTGGATAATAAGCTTTGTTTATGAAGAAACGATTGTAGCTCTACAAATGGCTGTCAAATAATATATATTTCCGCTATAAATTGCTGTGTTCGCTTTTCAAACAGACGACATTCTTTCATTAAAAAGAGCAGCGAAAGATAAAATAAAAACTTGATTTTTCAGGGAATTTACTTTAAATTCATCTTTGTTTTGGGCGGCCTTCTTAACCTTCTTTCAGATGTTGATCGTTGTTCTAGGATTAGTTCGGGCAATCCACATTTTTCGTGTAGACGAAATTGATTATCTTCGTATTCGGCTAGTAACTTGGTTCTCACGTCTTCTGAGGGTGATACAAATTCATCAGCCTTAATTCAATTGCGCTCAAGCTGAAAAACAAAAAGATCTGATGAATCCCTTGTGTGACATACCTCAAAAACCCTCATGCATGTCAAAATAATTTGGACCGAATTATCGACATTCAATATCGGTAAAATAGTGCTCTAGTTGAAGGGTAATAAATAAAAAAGGGGTTTCCAATCGTTTTTTTGGTGCATAAAATTCCCTTCGTTCCAATTTTTCTGTTAGCTCGTCGTTCTTAAACAACAATTTCATTTGAAATACCCCAAAAATATTAATTTACCGCTCATCGCAATTTGTAGGTTTTCTGGAAAATTCAATAATTTATCCATCAATGGCATTTGTACCCATTCGACCGTTGGTTGTAGCTTGGAATAGCAAGCTTGGTTACAGGACAGTGACTATAAAAACGGAATAGATTCTCAATGTTTCAGCTATGCTTGGTAATTGAATAATATAATAAATTTAGGTTTTCGGCATAAATAAGCTTTCTTGAAATAATATGTAAATCAAAATAAATAACGTACCGGAAATGCATTCTGCTTCTTTATTGTTGTCGATTCGCGCTTCTTTGACTACATTAATCTGAAATATTTAAAAGAGTAAATCATTACACTGTGGGTAACTTACTTCTAAATAATATTAAACTATGAGGTGAGGATTAATTATAATCCCGCATTGGGGTTTGTCGCCAACGTGACGAAAATAGGTGAAGCTTTCGACAGAGAATCCGGCATTTCGCGCAAAATTAACCATTCGTTGATGCTTGAAACTGGAAGCTTGGTTACAGGATAGTTTCTCCAAGTTTCTGAAAACTATATGTAAAATAAATATTTTCTGTTTCAGCAATGCTTAAAGTTAATAACAGAGTTGGGCGAAATGAATAATTTCAAAATAATAAATGCGGAATACAAATATTATAAATTCCGGCCAACTCTGTAAGACAACAAAACTCTTGTCAAAAATCATACCGGTCATATAAAAGGCGTGATGTTCTTCTTGCTGCAATTTCATCCTAATGTTCTTAATTTCTTTATCCCAAATTTATGGCAAATATGCATTCATGGTGATGGTTTCATTTGTGGCAATAGCTGAAATAAAAAAGTAAATCTTTTGAAAACTTGATGTGGGCAACTAACCTCCAAGGATAATTAAACTATAAGTTGATGTGTTTTAATTGTTATCCCCGCATTACGGGTAGACGCCAACGTGACGAAAATGAGTGAAGCATTGAGAAGTGGAGGCAAGCTCTATCCTCTTGAAATCTACAAATGGGCGTGGTCGAGATTGTATTTCGAAATCTACAATTGTTCATGTTGATTCTGTTAGGATTTTCTTCAACAAATCAATACATTATTGGGTTCACTTACGAAGAAACAATTTTCTTCTATCGAACGACGAAATTTGTTACATCGCCATAGGACTATCAAAATTTGCAAAC